GGCCTTAATTCAAAAGAATTTATAAAATACAAGAAGAATACCTCAGCTGTGCCATAAACTAAATATTAGAAGTAGGAAAAAAATGGTAAAATGGCAGATAATTTTAATTAAAAATTACCTGAGAAATCCTCTACTTGAGCTGATGTCGTTTTAGATGAAGAAAGCTTACTTCATAAATTCTTTAACAGTTCATATATTAATCCTTTTTTTGTTGCTATAATGAAATATTTGAGACAGGGTACTTTTTTTTTTTTTAAGTAGAGGTTTATTTAGCTCCAGATATAGAAGTTTAAGGGCATGGCACCAGCAACAGTTTGTCCCTGTGAGAACCAAATGGTGGATGGCATTGCAATAGTGGGACCCCATGAAAGAGGGAGAAAGATCCATCACATCACCAGACAGGAAGCCAGAAGGTCTATTTAGGATGAGGCTCAGCCTTTTAAACCACTAGCTCTTAGGGATCTCACCAGAACAACCTTAATCCCTTCCAAAGATACACCCGCAGTGACTTAAGTTCCTCTTAAGTCATTCTTCATGTTGTCACACTGAGGACAAAGCTTCCAGCACATGAACACTTGGGGCACACACCCAACCGTATTTAAATACCACATGTGAAGTACTTGTTACCCCTCCTCTTCCTCACTGACACTGCATGAGACAAAGGCATGTTCACATGTTTTTCCAACATAATCAGCCTGGGCAGTTCTATAAGGTTTTAGAAAAAGGGGCTAATGAATCTGGTTAATATTGAACACCTGTCAGAATTTAATTAACCATATCATTGTAAAATTCTTATCAAGAGTTACTCTTTTTTTATTTTTAACATCTGACATTTCAAATGCTTATAGTACCTTTGGGTGCAATCAGCATGGAAGTTGTGACAAGGAAGGTTCAGAATCAGTGTTTCTCCTCATGATTCATTTAGCATGATTTGTCATAAGAGGAATTTATATAAAACTATAATTAAAAGTATGTGAAATAGAAAGTTTTCTATATGAAACAGAATGTTACTTGTGTTCTGCCTCTAG